ACGAGGCTGGGAAACCGCCGAGAACCGACGAAAACGTCCGAAAACCTCGAACCTCGAACCCGAAACTTCCGCGGAGAGCCCCCGGGGACGACTCGTGGAGGTCCTCGGGGAGCTGCCCTCGGGAGGGGTCCTCGCGACGGGATCCCCGTATGGGGCCCTCGCAAAGAAGCTGCCCGCCGCCCCCCGCGACAGCCTCGCGCCGGGCGGCCCTGCGTCGTCATCGTCGTCGTCGTCGTCGTCGTCGTCCTCGTCGTCCTCGTCGTCCTCGTCCTCCTCGTCGTCCTCGTCGTCGCCGCAGCCGCTGTCGTGGTCGTCCTCGTCGTCGTCGTCGTCGTCGTCGTCGTCGCCGTCGTCGTCGCCGTCGTCGTCGTCGTCGCCGTCGTCGTCGCCGTCGTCGTCGTCGTCGTCGTCGTCGGCGTCGTCGTCGTCGGCGTCGTCGTCGTCGGCGTCGTCGTCGGAGAGGGGGGGGGCGGGCGGGGCGGGGGCACAGGAAAAGGCAGAGCATGAAAGAGTTCACGATGGAGAACCAGTGCACCTGCCGCCCGCCCCGCGTCCCCGTCTGCCATTGGGCATCGGTTTCATCGTTCAGCGCGGCTGCCCTCGTCGGCACCATCGTCGACGCCACGGACCATCATGTGCAGCACATTCGGCACCCTAGCGACCACGACACAAGCAGCATCGTCGCCATCATCATCATCATCATCATCATCATCATCATCATCATCATCATCATCATCATCATCATCATCATCATCATCATCATCATCATCAGCAGCAGCAGCAGCAGCAGCAGCATCATAATCATCATCATCAGCATCATCATCAGCATCATCATCATCATCATCATCATCATCATCATCATCATCATCATCATCATCATTATCTTCATCAGCATCATCATAATCAGTATCATCGTCATCGTCATCATCGTCATCACCAGCATCATTATCTTCATTATCATCAGCATCATCATCATCAGCAGCAGCATCATCATCATCATCATCATCATCATCATCATCATCATTATCATCATCACCATCTTCCTCAGCATCAGCATAATCAGTATCAGCATGATCATCGTCATCATCGTCAGCACCAGCATCATTATCTTCACTATCCTCATCGTCATCATCATCATCATCATCATCATCATCATCACCATCATCATCATCAGCATCATCATCGCCACCACCACCACCACCATCATCATCATCATGTTCATCCTCATCAGATTCACCATCAGCATATTTATCATCAGCATCATCATCATAATCATCATCAGCAGCATCAGCATCATCAGCATCAGCATCAGCATCATCATCAACCATCATCATCAGCATCATCATAATCAGAATCATCATCATCGTCATCATCGTCATTATCAGCATCATTATCTTCATTATCATCATCAGAATCGTAAAAGACAGCATCATCATCAGCATCATCATCGTATCCACCACAGCCATCACAGAAGTCATGGGCATCATCACTGTCACCCTTACCGCAACCATCATAACCGTCATCGTCATCAGCATCATCATCATCAGAATCACCATCATCGTCGTCATCATCGTAATCGCCATCATCATATCATCATCAGTATCACCATCATCATCACCCTCGTCAGCATCTCAACCATCATCCGAATATGCATGGTCACCGTCGTCATCGTCGTCGCCACTATCATCATGAGCGTCATCAATCGCGCCAGCCCTCTGGGCGTGGGTGCTTCATTCAGGGTGCGGGCTCTTCTGGAACAGCCCCCGCTTCCTCTTCGGGAGAGAATTCGCTCCTCCTCCGCCGCCCGACTCCCCGAGGCCTCGCACTGCGGGGAGCGCTATTATGTTTGTTCCCTCAACGCTTTATTGTTGTTCCCCCTCGGGGCGTTTCCGCTTCATTTGTTGTTCCCTCGTGCGCCTCTCTTGTTCCCCCCCCTCGGCGCTGCTCCCGTCTCCCTCGGCGCTCGTGTCTTTTCCCCTCAGGGGGCCAGGGGGGTGGAGGGGGCTGACCCAGGCGTAGGACCGCAGCTCTTGCTTGTCTTGGTACGCATTGGCATGCATCTGACATTCCTGTGGCATGCGGTTCGGCATGCACTTTCGCATGCCTTTTCGCATGCATTTGGCATGCACTGGCATGCATCTTGCATGCATCTGGCATGGACTTGGCATGCTCGTATTGGCATGCGGTGGCATGATTTGCCATGCATGTGGCATGCATGTGGCATGCGTTGTGGCATGCAGTGGCATGGATTTGGCAGGCACTGTCATGCATGTTGCAGGCATCTGGCATGCATGTGGCATGTTTTTACTGGTATGCGGTAGCATGCATGTGGCATGGATTTGGCGTGCATGTAGCATTCAGGTGGCATGCAGTTTGGCATGCAGAGGCATGCATTTGGCATGCACTGTCATGCATCTGGCATGCATGTGGCATGCTTGTACTGGCATGCGGTGGCATGCTTGTGGCATGCATTTGGCATGCATGTGGCATTCATGTGGCATGCAGTTTGGCATGCATTGGCATGCATTTGGCATGCATTGGCATGCATCTTGAATGCATCTGGCATGCATTTGGCATGCTTGTATTGGTATGCAGTTGACACGTTGCCACCTTCGCCTCTCCCCCACCTCTGCCTATCCCTCCATCGCCACCCTCCTCGATCTTTTCATCGTCCTCTTCCTCCGCCTCCTCGATCGCAGAGTCGCCTATCCCATGCTCTCTTCGATCTCTCCTCGTCATCCTCTTTCTTCGTTTTCGTCCCCCGCCCATCCCACCTCTCCTCGCCACTTCCGTCCACCCCTCCCCCCTGCTCTGCCTCAGCCTGCTCCCCCTCACCCCTGCGGGAAGATGGCCCCCCCGCCGTTCTTCCCCACTCCGGGAAGGGAGTCCCTGGGGGGTCCCTCCCCCCCATCCCCCCCCCCCGGATCTTGGAGGCCCCCCCGGGGGCTCCACCCCTGGGGATTCTCCAGGGAGGCCCCCTCCTGGGGTCCCACCCCTCGGGGGGGTCTGCCCCCATCCACCCCCCTTCCCGAGGGAACAAACCAAAAAAAACGTCGGGGGGGAAAAAGCAAGCACCGGCGGGAAAAAGGGCGGGATTTTCGACCGGACCAGCTCCACGGAGGAAAACAACAACAACAACAACAACAACAACAACAATCATTTTACCCGAACGCTCAGTGTTCTCACCAGTGCCAGGGTTTTCATGCGACGCGAGACAATACCCCCACTTCGTGGGGGGGCAGTTCAAGCTCTACCAAATATCCAAACGACTCTTCGCGACCACCCAAACCCAGCTTCCCGCCCTATGACGTTGGGACACTTCACTTCGTGGCGTGCGGACGACCGTGGCTACTACACTGGCGTGGGGTACACACCCACAGAACTTGGTCACTTATTCGGGGCGCGCGTGTGCCCAGCATCCTGCAATTGTGACATACAATACATGACACAGACAGACAGAGAGAGAGACAGAGAGCAGACAGAGAGAGAGACAGAGAGAGCGGAGTTGGTCACATTTTTGGGGCAAGTTCCTGAGATCGTCGTGTTTTTTGTTGGTCTTGCGCGCGCGAATGTCCACTTTACTTTTTTTTGCAAGGGAATATTGATTATGTTAGAACAAGAAAAAGTAGCTCGCGCGAGCTCATGTAACATAAATGTTGAAAAACCATTGGTTTTGTGGGAGTCGGACAGCGCGCGCGGGATGAAATTTGGACATTTTTTTTTGAAAAACCATTGGGTTTTTGATGTTTTTATGTTGAAATCGTTACGAAACCTAAGGTTCTGGAAGGATTTCGTCTTGCGCGCGCGAATGTCCACTTTACCTTATTTTTTGCAAGGGATTATTGAAATTTGATTATGTTAGAACAAGAAAAAGTAGCTCGCGCGAGCTCATGTAACATAAATGTTGAAAAACCATTGGTTTTGTGGGATTCGGACAGCGCGCGCGGAAGGACATTTTGACAATTTTTTCTTAAAAAACCATTGGGTTTTTGATGTTTTTATGTTAAAATCGTTACGAAACCTAAGGTTTTGGAAGGATTTCGTCTTGCGCGCGCGAATGTCCACTTTACCTTATTTTTTGCAAGGGATTCTTGAAATTTGATCAACTAAGAACAAGAATTTTCATTTTCTAGTTGTTTTTTGCAAGGGAAAACGAGCGTCAACAAAAAACCGGATCCGGACATAATCCACTTTTCTGAAGCTTTCGCAGAAAAATGATGAAAATGTAGCTGCGGCCTAGGTTTTGGGGGGGGTCGCGCACCAGGGGTCCCAACAATAATTATTTTAAGAAGAAATAATGTTCAACAACAACAACAACAACAACAACAACAACAACAACAACAACAACAACAACAACAACAACAAAACGAGTGGAAAAAACGAGAGAACGCCCCAGGGAAACAAGCAACAAAAAAACAAAAACCAACAACAAACAAAACAAACACAAACAAAAAACGCCCGAGGAAAAAAACAAGCGCCGAGGGAAAGAAATCAAGCGTTCGGAACCCCACCCAGGAGACCCCGAGGGGAAAACAAGAAACGCTGAGTGAAAAAATGCTAGCGGAACCCCTCGCACTGCACCCTGCAATACGTCGACGATAACACGTCTGCAAAGACCATGACGGTACCCTGCGACGAGAGCCTGCGACGCCCTGCAGCGTCCCTGGGAACCACACCCCTGCAGCACAAGCGACCCTGCAGCACTCTGCAGCGTCCTGCAGTGGCCTTGCAGTGGCCCATGCAACACCCTGCAGCTGTCTGCAATGATGTGTCTGTCTTTGTTTGCGTCGGCGTCAGATGCAGGCGCCAAGCGCGCGCACAGAGACGGCACCGACGATCTGCAACGCACCAATGCGCGATGGGTGCACACCTGCGAGCCGAATCGTGCGCGCACGCCGCGGCGCAAGACTTAGAGCGAGCCAGTTGGGGCGCCATTGCGCGGCAAGTCCACGCGCGCAAGGCCCACCGGGTGGCTCCGCACTGCAAGGCCAAGGTAAGGTGCACCGACTGGATGCGAAGTTGCGACCAGAGGAGGGCAGAAGAGATGTCCAACTGAATCCACCACCGTGCCCCGAGGCACGAGTTGGATTGCCCTCAGGTCCCCATCGAGTTCTCTGCCTTGGGCACCGTAAATATTATGATAGGAATCGAAGGCCCAAATCTCCAAATCTTCTGGGCGCTCTTAGGCGCTTCTGGGGTCGGTGGCGTGACCTTTCCAGAGGCAAGAGTGGCACGGTGGCGGGATGGGCCGGAGGCTACTAGACAAACACATAAAATGTGAATGCATTAATCCCATTCCCCATGTATCAACGCCTGCCCCTCTCTCATCCAACCTTGTGCTCGAAGAACTTCGGGTCCAGGTACCGCAAATTGCGGTCCTCAGCCACCCACACAACAGGGAGGCCGGACACCAGGATGCGCGTCAACCCTTCCATCTCCACCTTCTCCACCGTCCCCCGACCCCCCTCCAACAGTCTCTCCTCCTCCTCCTCCTCCTCATCCTCCTCGTCTCCTCCTCCTCCTCCTCCTCCTCCTCCTCCTCCTCCTCCTCCTCCTCCTCCTCCTCCTCTCCTCCCCTCCCCCTCCCCCTCCCCCTCCCCCTCTCCCCCTCCTCCTCCTCCTCCTCCTCCTCCTCCTCCTCCTCCTCCTCCGCCTCCTCCTCCTCCTCCTCCTCCTCCTCCTCCTCCTCCTCCTCCTCCACCTCCTCCTCCCCTTCCTCCTCCTCCTCCTCCTCCTCCTCCTCCTCCTCCTCCTCCTCCTCCTCCTCCTCCTCCTCCTCCTCCTCCTCCTCTCCTCCTCCTCCTCCTCCTCCTCCACCTCCTCTCCTCCTCCACCTCCTCCTCCTCCTATTCCTTCTTCCCATCAACCTCTCCTCCTCGCCCCCTCCTCCCAATCAACCGCCAACTCCCCCCTCCTCCCCTCCTCTCCCTCCTCCCCCCTCCCAATCAACATCCTACTCCCGCTCACATCCTCCCCCCCCATCCCTCTCCTCCCCCGCCTTCCCGCCCTCCCCACCCCATCCTCCCCACTACACCCCTATCCCCCTCCTCCCCACCAGCCCCTGGTCCTTCTCCTCCGCCTCCTCGTCCTTCCTCCCCACTTGCCTTTCCCCTCCTCCCCTCTCCCTCTCCCTTCACACTTACACATTGTTACTGCTACTCTCCTCTCCCTTGACTCTGTCCGGAAGATACGCGGCCCTCTCCGCGCATTTGTTTTCCCACACTGAACTTCGAAACGTTGACGTTTGCTTTCTGTGCTTGTACTCTCAGCCTACTCTTTCCTATGGTGCTCCAAAAGGGAACTCCCGGTGCAGCGTGCGCCGTTACTCCCGTCGTTGGGGACACCGAAAGGTGCCGATGCCGCTGCTCCGCGGACCTCTCCCGGGTGCGCTCTGACCAGGATTTCGGGGCGAGTCCAGCGGTGACGACGAGGGCCTCCCAGGAGGCCGAACACGGGGCAAACGGGCGAGGGGGTAGACATCTGGGTGCCTGTTCCTCCTCCGAGTCGTTCAGCCTGACGCGCTCGCCCCAACGCGGGCCATGTTTCTGGGTCCGAGTCCTCGCTCGTCGTGGTCGCCCCCCGTGTTGCCCCTCCCTCAGTTTGCCGCCGGCCCTCCTGCTCCTCCCGCTCCTTCCGCTCCCGCTCCTGCTGCTGCTGCTGTTCGCCCTCGTCCTCCTCCTCCTCCTTCTCCTCCTCCTCCTCCTCCTCCTCCTCCTCCTCCTCCTCCTCCTTACACTCTTCCTCCTGCTCATCCTCCTGCTCGTCCTCCTGCTCATCCGCCACCTCCTGCGTCAGTGCGCGCAGCTACCTTTCTTCCGATCGTGCCCAACACGATGGGGTCATCTTTGGAGCTCCAGGTCCGCTGTGACACGCGTCGGCGGGTAGAGAACTGGTGCAACGGGAAAGGTCCCATAGGATTCCCATAGGATTCCCATAGGACTCCCATAGGATTCCCATAGGATTCCCATCGAAGTCCCATCGGATTCCCATCGGATTCCCAGATTTCCATGGGGGGTGGGAGGAGTAGAATGTCAGATAGAGCGTGAGCGCACCCAGCTTGCCTCAACCCCTCTCCGTCGGAGTCGTCGGGGTCGCCGCCGCCGCCGTCATTAGGAGGCAACTTTTGGAAAGTCTTCGGAAGAGCGACTAAGGGCTACGGCCCGATCGAAGGGCCATTAAGCCGGATCGGCTCAGGTGAAGCCCAAGGCTGAGCCGATTGAGCCGGATTAAGCTGGAGTTGGCTGGTTTTTTGACAACGGATATACAAGCGCCGATGCTGACTTCAACCTCCAAGGAGTTGCATCCAAATCGTCGGAATCCTCCTCCTCCTTCTCCTCCTCCTCCTCCTCCTCCATGGGTCCTGCCCACAGGACTCGCTTCTCGTCCTGGGCCCCGCTTGGCGGTCCAAGAGCCTACAAGAAGACTCGTCAAAAACAAACCGACAGATGTTGTTTCCGGTGCTCGTGTGGTCGGCGCTACTTCAGCGCTGGCATGCAACTCAATGGAGGCCAGTCCAACAAAAAACCTTCCACAACAGACCCAACCTGAGACCACAGGACATCGATTGATTGTCGTGTCGGAACGTCACGCTTTCCATAGCATAACCATGGAAACCCAAGAAACCCAAGGCACCCTGGAGGCAAGAAGGGTGTTCCTCGGCATGGGTCTCCACTGTGTTTGGCCCAGCCGCAGGGGTGTCCGAAACCCAGAAGGGCCATCACGGCATTGCAGAACGCGGTTCCTGCCAAGGGTCCGTACCGTCGAGCGCTTCGATCTTCAACAGCGGGTCAACTTATGTTTGACGACGCGTGTATAGAGGCCTCCTAGATGGGGTCGGAGTGGATGGGGTCGGAGGACCGCGCCGCATCGCCGATACATCGGCGATGCATCGGCGATGCATCGGCGATGCAACGGCCATGCACTGGCGACGTCAGCGATGCATCGGCGACGTCGGCGTGGAGAACATTGGGCCCCACATTGAGCCGCATCGCCGATACATCGCCGATGCATTGCCGATGCATCGGCGACGCGGCGCGATCCTCCGACCCCATCTACTCCGAGGGGTGCTCGGGAGCCTGGAAACGGCCTTCCTCCCAGGAGCCCCCATTCTTGCCAGACCTCCGCCGGATTGATTTTTCCATCCGCCGGCCCCAGAGGCCTCGACCCCCATCCCCACGGGGCAGCTTGCCTTCCAAACTCCATGCTGACTCTCCCGGGGACCCAAAATAAACCCCGGATGCTGAGACAGGCGAAACTCTTGGCGGCGGGCACACGGGGGCAAGGGGGAGGGGCAAGGCGTCTCTTGAAGGAGGCTGTTTCTCAGAAGGCGCCAGCCCTACCGTCTCAGAAGCAGGGATGCTTCTACGGAGCCTTCCCCCCTCCCCCTACCCTTAAGTCGGGCCTGCCCCCCTACACGGGGATCTTGGCCGAAAACTTAGAAATTGTAAAAAACGCCCAAAAAAATGCAAGAATGGTCAAAACATCGTCCCCATAATATTTTTGGACTGTTTTTGAATATTCCTCCTGTAGAGGGACAGGCCCGACTTAACACCAGGCGGGCGGCGTCTACGAGCCCTCGCCCACTGGGGATGGGCACGGGTCTTCGGCAGATTCGCGTCGCGTGCTGGCTGCTAACACGGCGTGGATCGGCAGCTTCTCGACCCTTCGGTGGCAACTCAGGGGAGCCTCCCATACCACCTTGTCGGCTCTCGCGAACCGACGCTAAACGAACCGCTCTATAGGGACAGGCCCGACTTAACCCCAGGAGAGCCCAGGATCGGATCGACAAATCGGATCGGCGATCGACATGAATCGGATCGTCGGAAATCGGCAGCTGAGTCGGGAAAAGTCGGATCGGCAGAAATCGGCAGGCTGGCATGCCTCCAATAAGAAACCGGAACTCGAATCGGAACCCCAGATCGAATCGAATCGGAATCGGAAACCATCGAAATCGAATCGAATCGAATCGGAGGAATCGAAACGAGCCCGACGTAACCCTGCCCCCCGACGCGCGTGGCCGAAGAGCGGCGGTGCCCCCCCCCCCTCCGCCGAGATGGGGCGGGAGCCGCACGCGGGCGAGCGCAGTACTGAAGAGGCCCCAGGACACACAAATAAATAAATACACACAAATAAACATATTCCCCATATTTTCCCATATTTTCTGGGTTTTTGTCTTCCCCCCAACGTCCCATATTTTCCCATATTTTCTTGGGAATCGACGATTAATTGTGTCTGTGTGCTTTTTCCCTCCTGAAAAACGCCCCTCGTGGGCTCCCCATGCCCGCGGCTTCCCCGCGGGGGAGCCGGCTGGCCCGCGGGCGCCGGGCGCCGAGGGGAGCCCCCTCGCTCCTGGGAGGCAAAACCTCAGGTCGGGCCTGTCCCCCGACAGGCTGCAGGGGGATTTGGGGCGAAAATGAAAATACCCCAAAATGCTCAAAATAGTCTCTCTCTTTCACACACACCACCACCACCACCACCACCACCACCACCACCACCACCACCACCACCCCACCAACACCACCAACAACAACAACAACAACAACAACAACAGCAACAGCAACAGCAACAGCAACAACAACAACAACAACAACAACAATTACTAGCACGTGGGGACACTCCGTTCTCACCAGTGCCAGGGTTTTCATAGGAGGCGGGCAATACCCCCACTTTGTGGGGGGGCCGGTTCAAGCTCTACCAAATTTCCAAACGACTCTTCGCCACCACCCACACCCAGCTTCCCGCCCTATGACGTTCGGACACTTCACTTCGTGGCATGCGGACGACCGTGGCTACTATTCAGGGCCCCGCGGCCGACGACGACGGCGTGCGCGCGCGAAGAAAAAACGAATGTGTCCCGCATGGTATTATTTGACAGGGATGATGGCCCTGGCAGGTGCGCAACCGTTGTCGCAGAAGTTCGAAAAAGTTGCTCGCAAAAGCCCGTTTGACAGAAATGTTTAAAAAGTGTTGGGTTTCCTACGAATCCGCAAGAGCGCGCGGGATGAGATTTTGACAATTTTTTGTTGAAGAACCATTGGTTTTTTGATGTGTTTATGTTAAAATCGCTGCGAACACTAAGGTGTTGGAAGGATTTCGTCTTGCGCGCGCGAATGTCCACTTTACCTTATTTTTTGCAAGGGATTCTTGAAATTTGATTATATTAGAACAAGAAATGTCATTTTCTATTGTTTTTTGCAAGGGAAAGCGGATTACAACAAAACAACCGGATCCTGTACACACCCTCTTTTCTGAGGCTTCCTCACGAAAATGATGAAAATGTAGCTGCGGCCTAGGCGGCGCAGGGGGGGCGCGCACCAGGGGGCCCAACAATAATTATTCTTTAGAATAAATAATGTTCAACAACAACAACAACAACAAC